AACAACCACACAAGCTACCATAGCGGCCCGTCATACACCAACGGGTCGTCGTATGGTATGCAAGTACCGCCCTCGCCGCCTCTGCCTGAACCACAACATAGCCGCAAGCGCAGCCTTGGGATAACCGACTACCCCGAAGCCAAGCGTGTCAGCGGGCAGCCTAGTCCGGTAACTCCAACTTCGCCCGTTGGTCCATGGTCACAATCGCTTCCTAGTCGCGAGGCCGCTCGGGTTCGTCACTCCGACCCTATGGACTTTGTCGACCTGACTGAATCGAATCCACCTTCGCCTGGCAATTACGAGCTTCCTATCCATGTACATGCGCAACCAGATCCCGCCCCACACTATATGGACCCATTCCCGGAGCTCAATAACTATCAGGGAGGAAGTGACAATGGCACCATACTACCAGCAGATGCGTTCAATCAAGAGTTCATGGCTCCGGAAGAGCTTGCTGAGTTTCTGATCGCACCCAGTGCACCAGGTAGTCATTTCGCTGTGCCGCAGACTTTCCCTTATCAGCCTCGTGCTGAAGCAGATTATCCCGAACACATGCGGGGGTGGAGCAGTGACGGAGAGGAGTATGGCCGCTTCCCGCTCAATGTCAATGAGGCGGAAGACATTGAGAAGCTCTTGCAGAGCATCAGTGCTGGTGTTGACGAAGAGGACAAAGAAAAGCGAGCGCCCACTCCCAAGACCATGACTTGTACTTTGAAAGAATATCAGCGTATAGGTCTCACGTGGCTGCTCGACAAGGAGCGCGGCGCGACCAAGGGCAGTATTCTTGCAGACGATATGGGTCTGGGCAAGACCATCCAGGCTCTCGCTCTCATTTGCGCGAATCCGCCGACGGATCCGGCATGCAAGACAACGCTCATTATCGCGCCTGTCGCCCTTATGCGACAATGGGAGAAGGAGATCGAGCGTCATATCCATCCTCGCCACAAGCTCAAGGTTCATCTCTATCATGGCAGTGGTAAGAACGTTGATTTCGCTCGTCTTCGCCAGTGTGACGTCGTCCTCACCACCTTTGGTTCCCTGACTTCAGAATACAAGCAAAAGGAGTCTTCCAAAGAGGCGATGGCCAACGACGCAGAGCTCCGCAATCCTAGCATGCGCCGCAAGGCCAAGGACAGGCTCGCACTGCTAGGACAAGAGTGCATGTGGTATCGTATCATCATCGACGAGGCCCACAATATCAAGAACCGGAACTCCAAGGCGTCCAAGGCGTGCGCTGACCTCATGGCTAAACACCGCTTGTGCATGACTGGTACGCCCATGATGAACAGCGTTGACGAGCTTTTCCCTCTTCTCCGGTTCTTGAAGATGTCGCCGTATACTACATGGACCAAGTATAGCATGGACATTGCAAAGGCAAGTACAGATGACTCTGACTATTGGGTACGATCTTTTACTAACGAAATTTAGGGTTACAAGAGCACTCAGCCACGCGCGCGGACCGGTGCACAGAACCGTCTTCACATCGTAATCAAGGGTATCATGCTCCGGCGTCGGAAAGACGCTGTCGTTGATGGGCAGCCTGTTTCCAAGATCCCTCCCAAGCACTCTGCCATCGATAGTGTGGAGTTCGAAGACGAGGAACATGAGCTCTACAAGGCTCTAGAAACCAAGTCGCAGCTTCAGATGAATAAGTTCCTTGATAAGGGTACTGTCACAAGCAACTACGCCAACGTCTTGGTTCTCCTGCTTCGCCTCCGCCAAGCATGCTGTCATCCGCATCTTATCAAAGACCTCAGTCAACCAGCAACCGAGGCTATCGATGAACACGATCTCTTGAGCCGCGCCAGGGAACTGAGTGATGAGGTCGTCGCGCGACTGAAGGCTAATGAGTCTTTCGATTGCCCGATTTGCCTTGATCTCGATCCGAATCCGACGATCCTCATCCCGTGTGGACATACGGTGTGCGGTGAATGTGTCCAGAAGATCATGGATCCGGCCATGCGAACCGCTCAAGATGGCAATGATGAAGCTGCCCCGGCCTTGTGCCCACACTGCCGTGGTGATATCAGCGCCAAACTGATCACAGATTACAAGCACTTCTGCAAGGTCCACTGCCCAGAGCGGCTTGGGTCAGCTGACTTGTCAGAACAAGAGGAGGGCGATGCTGAAGAAGATGACTCTGATTCTGACATCTCCGAAGACGAGGAGGATGCAGTGGATGTCGACAGGAAGGGCAACCTTGCTGGCTTCGTCGTTGACGATGATGAGGAAGACGAATACGTCGCCGATGAGGCGGAAGATGACGACGACGACCTAGGCTCCGCATCTGTGTCCAAGTCTAAGAAGAAGTCAAAGGCAAAGGCAAAGGCAAAGAAGTCTGGCAAGGGCAACAAGGGCAAGGGCAAGGAACGCGCCAAACCCAAGCTTACTCTTGCTCAGCTCAAGAAAGAGTCTCTCCGTAACAAGAGCGCGAAGAAGCGCTACCTGCGTCGCCTGGACAAGACCTTCATTCCGTCTGCGAAGATCAGCAGGACTGTTGAACTGCTCAAAGAGATCAAGGAGAATGACCCGACTGAGAAGACGCTCGTTTTCTCCCAGTTCACTTCCTTGCTCGATCTCGTCGAAGTACCTCTACACCGAGAAAGACTGGCCTACCAGCGCTACGACGGCAGCATGAAGATGGACGAGCGCGCCGACGCCGTAAACGCCTTCATGGACGACCCAAACGAAAACATTATGCTTGTCTCCCTCAAAGCCGGTAACGCGGGTCTCAATCTCTGGAAAGCATCTCAGGTCATTATCCTCGACCCTTTCTGGAACCCCTTCATCGAAGAACAGGCCATCGACCGCGCCCATCGTATGCCCCAGGAGCGTGAAGTATATGTGCACCGCATCATTGTACCGGAGACCGTGGAAGATCGTATCATTGCTATCCAGGATAGGAAGCGTGAGCAGATTGATGCGGCGCTGGATGAGAATGCGTCGAAGAGCCTTACCAAGCTCAGCGTATCAGAGCTGAAGTTCTTGTTTGGTATGGGTGGTGGCTAGTGTGCGCGAGAAAGCTGCGGGTCTCCTCTATGTTTACACAGCGTTCGCGCTATGGTTTCCTTTCGCTCTTTCCATGTTCGATCTATCGTCTTTTCACCACACATGTTCTTTTCTAACAACATCTGTTTCCTACCCGCATATTTAGACGCGCAAACACGTGTTTTCGCATTTTTTGATACCCGATCTCGAATGATCAAGGCTTTACCTTCTCTTCTCGGGGAAATGTACATCGGCGTACGATGTGGGGTATCTGGCGTTTGATTTCACCCATGTGTTTCATGGCGTATATGGAATGTTCTTCTCCGTCGCGAGCGGAAGGAAGGGGAGTTAGCAAGATATAGCGTAATACAGTGTTTCCAGCAACGAGTTCAAGTGAGATACAAGAAGCATTGCAGGTCATGAATGCCGTTAGTTTGATTTTAGATAACGTGGGTGGGTGTCGGACTTGCCCCTCAAGTCACCTGCGCCTTTTGTATGCAACAACGGAAAGAGCGAGTCCAAGGCCAGGTGCGTCAGTCAAGTAAACAGAGCTAGCTCAACCTCCATGTTATCGCACTCACACGACACCGCTTCCATACCTTCCAGCCGTCCATCCTTTGTCTCATCGCTACAACGACCAGCTTCTTCTACACCCTCTACGTCCTCCGCCTCCGCCGCCCTGCTTGCGATTACCTGCGAGCAGTCGAAGCTGGTCGTCTCATATTCATTTTGCATCTCACCTTCTAGGCCGACATCTCACTCCAACCCTCTAGCAATTCGATCGGCAAACTTCACATGAGCGCGTAAACTGCCGTCATTGGTGTTCACACGTGTTCGCCGTCTCATACAGACCAATCCAATCAATCGTTCACTCAACAACATGACTGAGTCTGAGAACAATGCCTCGAAGGCGTCGAGCACTCCCCCAAAGATGACGAAGGCACCGGAACGCAAGAAGCTTGGAACACGAACGACATCGGACAGACTTCCCTGGCTCAGCAACAAAACTTCACAGGCCGTGGCTGCAACGTTCACGGATGGTCAGAACAGCACGACTGTGGAAAGCCCATGCAGCTCGCCTGTAGATGGTCACGAAAGCCCTAAGCCGTCTCCATCACCAAGCACGCGACCTAGCGGCAAGGTGACTGTCGCGACTGGGATTCAGCCCATTATCACGACCAGACCGATGCCACGAAGGAAGTCATCAGTACCCGCAGGTGAACGTCGGGTTCCATCAACAGCTACCAGTAGCCCATCCCCAGTGACGAGACATCGACAAGCCCAAACGCGTCGTTTCTCATTGGCGACTAATACAGTAACGCCGTTAAGGTCGGCGCATCGAACATCCATATCGCAGTCACATGAACCACAAAAGAGGCTTTCTGTCGTAAACATCAAACAAGACGTTGACGAGTTGGGGGTCAACCATGTACACGATGCTCGCCCTCGCGCTGACAGCCTCGCGCCGGTCCCGAATCATCTTCAACAGTCCAGCACGTCAGACTGCACCAGCACGCCTCCAGCAGTCATCTCTAGAGTCACAATGTCTCCTACGCAACCGGCACCAGCCCGCGTTACCTTTGAGCGGGCGGCGAAACGAAAGATAAGCAACGCAGTAGAAGACTTGGAAGACATGGTACAGGAAGCTGCCGCGGTTGCAGAGGTTGCCGATGATCGGGGTCAAATGGAAGAACTTTACACGATTATCGAGGGGGCGAGAGACGCAGTACACGACGCTACCACCGAGCCTGAATATCTCATGACAACTGCTCTTCCTCTGAAGGTGTCTGAGTCTTCAAGCTCGCCGTCTCGCACTCACAACATACTCCCGATTGTCGTTGATCGGATTAATCTAGATGACATCGCCCCCGATGTCCGTCTGCATGCTGACCTGCCAAGAGCTTCGGTGTCTTACGACTGGGCCTACTCGAATCAGAATGCGCGAAAAGAAAGCAGTTCTTCTACGTCGTCATGTTCGTCCAGTGACCGCAAAAGCGAACGAGACCACCTCCATGCCGATCTGCTTCTGCCCAAGCTCGTTCAGCCAGCTCCGCGAGAACATGTGGATTTTGTCCTCCGTCCTGTGGGTCGAGATGAGTCTCGTGGTCGCTCTCGCCGACGCCACCACGGTGATTCCACACGACATCGACATCGACGCCACCACAGCCCAGAGCTTGTGTGTCGACCCAAGCCCCGGCCCGAACCAAGAGATTCAGGCTTCGGTGAAACCGAGTGCTCATCCGACGAGGATGATGTACCATCGAAACCATATGGCGGTGAACTCACGGTGCGAGAACAGGCGCATCACCATACGTTCAGTCTTCATCGACATCACCGTAGACAGCCAATTGCGAGAAACTGGTCTACGGGCAAGAAGCGTCTAACCGCCAGTATTGCATGCATCAACACAGCTCTGCTTGGCATCATCGTCGGTATCTACGCTGGTGAGGTACCTCGTATCCAGTACTCTCTCGCAGACGAACGCCATATCGTGATCATAGGCAATGCAGTACTCTACGCTGGACTTGCTATCTCGACCTTCTTCGCTTGGACACTACCTCTCCTGCACGGACGAAAGCCCTATATTCTTGCTTCACTAGCAATCGCCTTGCCACTTCAGTTTCCTCAAGCTATTGTTGTAAGCGGCTACCACAACAAGGAGGCAAAGTATCGTGTCGGCCTTCTGCTATCGCGCGGTGTATCTGGTTTCGTCCTCGGTTTCGCAAACGTCAATTACATCACTGTACTACTTGACCTCTTTGGGGCTTCGCTACAGTCCAAGAATCCGCACCAAGAGTTCGTTGTCGCGAATGATGTCCGCCGCCATGGTGGGGGTATGGGTATGTGGCTGGGTATCTGGTCATGGTGCTGGATTGCTTCCATTGCCGTCGGCTTTCAGATTGGCGCTGCGATCATCGACCGTCTATCGCCGCAGTGGGGATTCTACATTATCGTCGTGATTCTAGCTTTTGCCTTGGTCCTCAACATCACGACTTCGGAAACGCGACGCGCACCCTTTCGGAAGTCTGTAACTGAGGTGTACGACAGAGACGAGAACTATATTACCAGGCGCGTGAGTCGGGGTGAGGTAAAGTTACATATCGAGACCGAGGGACCGAAGTATTGGTTTGAAGAAGCGTGGGCGGGTATCAAGCTCATGACAATGATGCTCTGCCAACCTGGCTTTCTCGTCCTGGCACTCTATCTTGGATGGATCTACGCCCAGGTAGTACTTGTGATAGTCCTTCTCGGTGCTCTGTTGTCGCGAGACTACCGATGGAAACCAACAAAGGTGGGCGCAGGCGTTATATCGATAGCTATTGGCGCCTTCCTTGCCATCCCCTTGACGAAAGCCGGCATCTTCTCTCGTGAGCGGAAAAGTGCGTTCCGCACCGACTCCATGACTTTCCAGAAGCAAGTGACCTGGTCGAGCCATCTTGTCCGCCGCGCCATCTTCACGCTCACGCTTCCGCTGATGGGCATGGCGTACACTGTCTCGTCGGCTAGGTGCCCTCAACCATGGCTTGTACCGATCATCTTCGCTGGCGCCGTAGGATTCCTCAGTATCCTCGCCATAGCCGAGTGCCATGGCCTGATGATGGAGACGTTCGATACCTGTGACTTGCAACCTGGAGTCAACACGCGACATCGCTTGCAAAGTATGGCTGTCCAAGATCGCAGGCGAAGGACAAACTACACCTCCTTTCCACGTGTCACTGCTGGTGTTTTCGCTAGCCAGATCATCGCTTTCGTCCTCGCTGCTGTCGCAACCATGGTGGGCGGCAACATGACGCGAAGTCTTGGCGCACAGAAATCCACGGGTGCTACGGCGGGCATCCTGTTTGGCATCACTGTTCTTCTGATCCTGGTCCTCTGTCGCTTCAAGTCCGTACAAGTTATACCCAACCATACCTTCGGAACCCGTCGCGACACGGCAGCCTGGCAGGAGTTCAAAGACCTAGAAAAGGTCGGCAGGGGCAGTGACTGGAAAGCTGTTGTGATTGGAAACCCCAGTGGTAAGATGAGAAGGATGAGTGTGCTTGAGTTGGGTGCGTTGAGTCGCTGGACTGAGATCAGAAAGTTGAACTTTCTGATCAAAGGTGAGATGTTGGGACAGCCCAAGGAGAAGAAGAGGAGTTTCGATGGTAGTTGGTGATGGTGTTGTGAGGAGATTGTTTACTGCTGAAGAAGTGTTGTATAACCTGGAGATGAGTATGACAGTGAAGCACGTATTCTTCATGATACAACTACAAATCTCTCATGAAAGTGACCTCGTTGTGACTAGCATGGGATTGTTGAGGTTGTAATGGCAACATGGTTGATCCCCTGAGCCGGCAAGCGGCGACGACGCACGGACTCCGCTGAAAAACCAAGCGTCACTGCCGAGCTCCATCCACCCTCACGAGACGAGCAGACGACCGGCGACACCCCATCTCCCCTCAGTCAATTCGCATCAACATGTCTCTCGCTGCATCACGTGCCGCCATACGGCAATCGACGTTCGCCGTCCGCCGCGCTGGCATCCGCAATGCCTCTACGACCGCCGAAGCCACCAACACTGTAAAGGAAACCGCGTCAAAGGCACAGTCAAAGGCATCAGAGGGTCTCACCAAGGTCACAAGCTCGGCGAGCTCAGCCGCACAGAGTGCCGGTCAAGCCGCCAACAATGCGACACAGCAGGCCACTGGACGGGTAGGAAGGATGGTCAACTTCGTCAACGGTCAGTCACACCATCTCTGCGGCGGGGGAGGGTATCAATTGGCCATGTGCGAATTGCGTGCAGTAGTCTGAGCTGAGAGAGCAAATTGCGGAGTGCATTGGCTTGTCCGAACAGCTCTATATGGCTTATCAGGCGCAGCCATATTTGCATGGCTCACCCGTGACAGACGGATGGCCGCGAGTCGCAGAATAGCTGAATACTCCAAACTGAACTATCGACTGACAGTACTACAGGACTGGTTCCCAAGGCTACCTACTACGGAAGGGTCGGACTCGAGCTCGGCAAGCTTATTGCCCACCAACGAAGCATGCAACCACCGTAAGCCTCCCAGCAGCACCACTCGACACACTGGGGTATCGGAATAATTACTAACTGCACCAAGATCCGTCCAGACGATGCAGAACTACATCCAGCCCGCCTTGAACGCTCTCCGCAACCCAACCTCGCTCTTCAACCGCGTAGCCAGCGAAGCCAACAGCGCCTCGCAGCAACCCGCCAACGTCCTTGCACAAGTCCGGAACATTCCCCGCGAACAATGGTACTCGATGGGTGTGGTTGTCGCCGAGGTGATTGGCTTCTTCTCGGTTGGCGAGATCATCGGCCGTTTCAAGCTTGTTGGCTACAGGACCAAGAAGGACGAGCACCACTGAGTGCGATGAGCTGAGGAAGCTACGACACGACTATTACAGCATGCACAAAGGTTCCAACGGTAGCGAGCAAGACGACGAGGGGGCGGCGAGGAAACACTGTACGATTTGGCGGGCAGGGAAGCTGAGCAAGTGTGTTTGCGGTGCACTCGGGATGCAAGGGATCCGATACTGTATACTGCACATACCTCTGATTTAGATTCCATTTTCTACACATGTGCAATTATTGGCAATGCATCTACTTCAGTCCAAGCAACGATAATGATAGCTGCGTGAATGCTCGAATGATCGGCGCTAGTTGCGCCGAACCGCCGCGGCCCAGTTATTTTTCTGAGCGCATCCATCCAACTTTTGCAGTGTGAACAAAACCCAAGTCGCCATGCCGGACAGGATCTAACTCGCTCTTTTTGACTCTGCCCTGATCCTCCGCCACTATGAACGTGTTCAAACTCCTCTCGCGATCCTCCAAAGCGGCGCCAAGCTCGTCCGCGCAAAAGCTTCCCTCCTCCGGCGCCGTCGCAAACCCGCAGCTGTTTGGCCACGACGACCCAGCACAACCGTCCGACACGTCGAATACCAGTCGCAAGAGGAAGAGAGGGCAGAATGGCCGGGATGCATCTCCTAGCGTCAACGACCTGCCCGCCGACCTCGACTTCTTCGGCGGCGGTGCAAGCAGAGAACCAGACGTAAACGGAAGCACGCTATCCAAGAAGCAGAGGAAGAAGCAGAAGCAGCAAGAGAAGAAGGAGGAAGAGGCCAGACTCCAAAACGATACAGAGGAAGTAGAAGAGGAGCCATACGACGTGGACGAGTGCAAGCGGATACTGCGCTCGCACAAACTCAAGGTCTCGGTCCTGGAAGACTTCGCGCCGCAAGTAGAAGAGCCAGCCAAAGAGAAGAAGTCGAAGAAGCGGAAGAAGGAGAAAGACGCCAAGGAGAAGAAGAAGGATGCGAAGAAGTCGCTCTACCCGCAGCCCCTCACCTCGTTTGCGCAGTTACGGACGCGATACGGTATCTCGAGACGACTGGCGGAGAATATAGCAGAGCAGGGGTACAAGCTACCTACCGAGGTGCAACTGGGCGCTTTACCGTTGCTGCTGAGCAAGAAGGGGCGTGAGGGTTCGAATGGGGTTGCACAGGATGCCGAGGGCTTGTCTGGGGCTCAGTATAATGGGGATATCGATCTTTTGACCGTGGCGCCGACGGGCAGTGGAAAGACGATAGCGTTCTTGATACCGATTATCGATTCGCTGCTTGCGGAGGGCAAGACTGCGGATACGAAAGAGGGTCCTCGCGCCGTTGTCCTTGCTCCCACGAGAGAACTCGCTGCGCAGATTGTCAATGAGGCGAGGAAATTGGCGAAGGGGACGGCGGTCAAGGCTACGCTTATGAGGAAGGGTATGCGAGTCGTAGACGAGCCAGAAGAAGAGACCCAGGACGACGCAGAGAAAGCTGAGGTATCGGACAACGACGACGACGAGTCTGAGTCGGAAGACGAGGAAGCGACAGCGCCAAAGAAGAAGCAAGCTGGTCGAAGGGCAGAGCTTGTGAAAGCTGCCATCTTGGTCGCGACACCACTGGCCCTGCTGAACGCCTTGAAGCGCACGGATGGTACCGTCGCGGGTATCCCCAGTGTATCCCAACTCGTCCTCGACGAAGCAGACGTCCTCCTTGACCCTCTCTTCCGCGAACAAACCCTCGCGATATGGAACGCCTGCACGAATCCGAAGCTACGAATCGGTCTCTGGTCCGCAACAATGGGCTCGAATATCGACAGTCTGACAACATCTACCTTGAACGACCGCTGGTCCGCCCTCTCCAGTTCACCTCCTTCCCAACGTTCAGACCAGCCCACCACTACCCTCCCCGCACGACCCCCCCTCATCCGCCTCGTCGTCGGCCTCAAAGACTCCGCCATACCAAACATATCCCACCAACTAACCTACGCCGCAACCGAACAAGGCAAGCTCCTCGGCCTGCGCCAACTCCTGCATCCAACCTCTGTTTTCACATCAACTTCGACCCCTATCCTGCGACCCCCCTTTCTCGTCTTCACACAAACCATCCCCCGCGCCATCGCCCTCCACTCCGAACTCCTCTACGACATCCCGCCTGAAGCAGGCGGTAGTTCGCGGATTGCAGTGTTACACGCTGATCTGAGTTCGTCGGCTAGAGATGGCATAATGACGAGATTTCGAAGGGGCGAGATCTGGGTCTTGATAACCACGGACTTGTTATCCCGCGGCGTGGACTTCCGCGGCTTGAACGGCGTGGTGAACTACGACGTCCCTTCCTCCGCAGCCGGCTACGTGCACCGCGTAGGACGTACCGGGCGGGCTGGCCGCGAGGGAGGCGTCGCTGTGACGTTTTACACTCAAGACGATATTCCGTTTGTGAAGCTTATTGCGAATGTTATCCGAGCGAGCGAGAAGATGAGGGGGGTGGGCGAGGGCGAGGGGAGTGTGAAACAGTGGTTGTTGGATGCGTTGCCGACGCCTAGTAAGAGGGAGAGGCAGATGCTTAAGAGGAGGGGTGTTGAGGCGAGGAGGAGTGTGAAGGCTGGGGCTAAGGATGGGAGGGATGGGAAGGGGGTCAAGGTGGATAGGATTAGTAGTAAGAGTGGGTATGATCGTAAGATTGAGAATAAGAGGAAGGGAGCAAGGGAGGCGGCGAAGAGGAGGGAGAAGGGGGAGGAGAAGGGGGATGGAGGGAGTGGGGATGAGAGTGGGTTTGAGGGGTTTGATTAGACGGTTATAGACGATTTAAGAGTAGTTGGTTGAATGTATGAGACAACAGTATGTGAGGCTTTCAGCTTTAAAACAATGAAAACACCACATGTCCATATAAGTGGATCACGGTGTTTAGTAAGCTTTCTACTCGATTTAGAAGAAATCCACACAGGAGCTTTCATGGATGTGTGTTTAAGTTCTACCTTAATCCGAGTTCTAATATTTAGATGTCCTGTTCCTGTGGCTGAATATGTGCGCATAAACTGTCGATGCCCGCTGCATAACCTACAATTACACCTTAATACACCATGATAGAAAGTGTTATTCCGTAACAGCAAAGATTGAGACACGACGCGTTATCTTCATTCTCTACTCTTCTGACTGTTTTACCAAGTCGAAGTTGTAGTCCCAGGAGTTGACATCTGTACACTCCATCACAATGCGATACTATCACTGCGATACTATCACTGCGTTACAAGACTAATCTGCCTATTGACTCCACGATCTCGTTACCAGACATCTCGTCTTTATCTTGTCCATCCAATCACCGTCGGCGAAGCGCGTTGCCCCCTCTTGGGCCTAGATACAGGACCTTCACGATTGTACATGCAAAGCTGAGGTGGGGCGTTGGGGACTGAGAAAAGCAGGGCGTTGGCTTTTGTATCCTCCGCAGGGTAGAGGCTTGCTTCTAGATGATTGTGTAGTTAGTGCTTCTAATCCCGCTTTCAATCTTATCCTACTTGTTTGGCGGATTATGTAGCGAATGGGGCCATACAACTTGGTGCTCTTTCCAAAGTTGCATCGTAAATTGCTTTTTCGGGTCGTCGCTTGCTGCCCATCCTTGTCTTTGCTCCACTCCTCAAACTAGACATATCGACGACGACGACGACGAGTGGCACGGAGAAGTTGACCGCGATATCAGCAACGGGTATGGTACCCATCGCTCAAGTTGGAGTCTTGGTGGTCCTCACTTGCCAGGGTCCATGGCCATGGCATTCCTCACCCTCGGATAGCTCCGCAAAAGCAAACATAATCCCATGCAGCAGTGCAGCTGACGGGA